ATAAATCCAAGAGCTGGTTCTTTGAAATACAATACAATTTCTAATCAAAAAGAAATGTAAGAAAAAATTGGCAATGAAAAATAACTGGAAAATCCAGAGTATTTAAAAAATTTTGAGGCTACTTTATATAATCATGCTAATAAACATGAAAATCTGGATCAAAGTATAATTTTATTTTCATTCTTAAAACTATCAGGAAGTACACATGGTTAATAACTATGGAATAAATCCAGGAAGTTACCAAAGATCTCTGAAGCCTTTTAAATACTTAGGGAGCAAATCAATGCCTTGGTAACTGTTTCAGCCATCAGTTAACACTCACATCTTGTTTTCTCATTGTTTCAGTTTCTATACAGGTGTCTCTATGCTTATTTCAGTATTTTATTACAGTGTCTCTTTCATTTTATGAAAATAAATGGCATATGTAAAACAGGAACTGCTAACCCTAGTGACAAAAATTATAGACATCCTGAACTTACTTGAAAATCAGATACCAAATGTGTAAAGGCTTTCTATCACAAAAGACACACAACAAACGTAAGCAGTTGGAGCAGTTACTCACCACCACTATCTTCTACCTTATCAGATCATTCCTTCTGGTACCCACCCCAACTACAGCACTTCTTTGACTGCATTTGCAACCCACACACCATGAGCCTGCCACTTATTCATGTCTTTACCCCTTACCTAGTTTACATGCTATGTCTGCATACATGCTCAGTACTCTTGCTTCTCTCCCTTTGTCATTCTCAACTAGGAAAGCCCTAACTCAGGTTAGATCCATCTTTCTGTCTACAGCCATGAAGTCAACAAAGGCTGGAGAAAACACACAATCATACTGACTAACTTGACTTTAAATTCTCGCCCACTAACCTGAAGTGGGTTTTTAAGATAGCCTGAAATTCTACCTTTTCCTCCTTAATGCATTCACTCTGCTATTTTCCTATTTTATATCTTTTCCTTTCTTTTTAAATCCCCAAGCCTCCTCTTCTACCACCACTCAGTTGATGGCCTTGCTTCAAATTTCACTAAGAAAACATCATAAAAAGGTGAGAAATCTTACTTATCCCACCTTCACATTTACCTGCCCGTCGGTATCTGTACCTGTATGCTGTGCCTTACCTCCAGTTTTGAAGCATGAACCATCTGTACTCATGCGGCTAGCTCTCTCGGTTGCTCTTTAAATCCCAATTCTCTCTCCCACTCAAAGAAATCACTCCAGCAATTGTCCTCCTCTCCTGCATGTTCAATCTTTCTTTTTCTGCTACACTTTTCCTGTTAACACATATACATGCTGTAGTTTCTTCCCCTTAGCTACTGCTTCATTTTTCTGCTTCCATTCATAGGAAAACAAAAAATTGTCTATACTCACTATCTGCACTTCCTCTCTTTTCCTTCTCTGTTAAGCACAAATCCACTTGGGCTTTTACCCCCACCAGTGCACTGATTCTGATCTTGCCAACCTCACCAACAACTTCCTTGTTGCTAAATGGTCAAGACCTGTTACTGGATCATTTTCACCACAAGCACCATTTAACACATTGGATATTCTCTCTTTCTTGAAATACTTCTTTGCTTCACTTTTGAAACAAAACCCACTCTTGGCTCTCCTCTCATTTCCTCCTTACTTGGTAGTGCCTCTTATAATCCTCCTAATCTTTTTGATCCCTAAATGCTGGAATGGCCCAGGGCGCAGTCCTCTTGCCCTTTCTATGAATACTCACTCTGATGGTGATCTCATTCAGTCTTCTGGCTGTAAATATCATCTTTTTGCTGAATCCTGCCAAATTCTCATCTCCAGTCCTAGAACTCCATACTCATGCATCTATCCCATTAAGCTACATTTCCACTTGGATGTCTATCTGATTTTCTGCTCCTTCCCTAGTCTTCTTCATCTTGGTAAATGGTCTCTCCATCTTCCTGGTTGCTCAGGCCAAACAAATCTTGGAGTCATCCTGAACACTTGACTTTCTACAGTCTACATCTGATCCAATAGTAAGTGCTGTTGTCTCTACCTTCAAAACACTGCAGGGCTTTTGTTCACCACCTCTACTGCTACCATCCCAATGGGAACCACCATAATCTCTTTCCCGCATTACCGGAACTGCATCCTTAGCGGTCTCTCAGGTTCCATCCTTGCCTCTCCACTTTGTGTTGTCTTCACAGCTGCCAGAATGATACTTTAAGGAGATAAATCAGCTCATGTTACTTTTCAATATAAGATTTTCCAATGACGTCCCATTTTTCCCCAAATCAAAGTCCTTACAATGGTCGACAAGACCCTACATGAAGGAATGTCCTGCTATCTTACTTTCCTACTCTCAGCCTCCACTACCCTTCCTCTGCTGAGCCTAGTACAGCACATGTGTAAAACATGCCAGAACTAGAGTTAAAGATTTTATATAAAAGACATGAAAAAATAAAGGGTTTTGTTTTCTTTTATTTTACTCTGCTTTACTTGAGTGTGTGTGTGTGTGTGTATGCTCTCTCTTTGGGAGCAAAAAAATCACTTTAATAGGTAAGAATATCATTATACTTTCACACATTTTCATGGACTTTCCTTTATACAAAATGAGCTCTTAAAAATCTAGATGAAAACTGAATTTATTCTCTTACTACTGGCTTGTCAAATCAGTGTTAAAACATGTACTAAGCATTAAATGCTGCAGAGGTAGCTACTTAACAATCTGGAGAGGAAAGAAAAGCTCGATCCTTAGATTCCTCTCTTCAAAAATAAATTACATACAAAGAGAAGAGACAGTTAAATGTAAAAGATAAATTAGTAAAAATTATACAAGAAAAATATAGATGAATACAGTATATTTTTAATTTGGCAGTTTGAAAAGGCAGATAGCAGTCAAGTCAGATAGCATTAAGGAGAGAGTAACAGATTTATCCGTATAAAAATTCAAAACTTCTATTTTTAAAACTCACTATAATTAAAGCTAAAATATACTTCACAAGCTGAAAAATATCTTTCTCGTCTATTTGAGACAAAGATTAACATGGTAAATATACAAAGAGAATGTGCAGTAATAGGGAGTATATGTTGGTCTGCTCCCAGTTCCTGGCACAGAGCTCCTAAAACCCATGTAATTTCCTAAGTGATAAGAACACTAGGAACACCTCTTTCTCTAACATTGGTCTTTGACCTGTTCCTGAGACAGGGATCCTGAAACCCTTGTAATTTCCTGGGTGATAGGAGGGTCTTCTGTCCTAATGAGGTGTCTCTGGGTGGGTTCCTGGATGGCTCCTGCATGAGGTCTGGTCACTAAAAAGACCATGCCATTAGAAGCTTGGATTTATCAGCCCCACCCCCAATTTTCTAGAGAGAAGGAAAGGGGCTGAAAATCAAGCCTATGTGATGAAGCCTCCTTAAAATCCCAGAAGTACGAGGTCCAGAGAGTTCCAGGTTGGCAAACACATCCACCCTGGGAGGGTGAAGTACCCCACTCCCATCAGTACAGAAGCTCCTGTGTTTCAGGACCCTCCCAGACCTTGCCCTATGTATCTCTTCCTCTGGCTGTTCATCTGTATCCTTTATCTGGCTATTATATCCTTTAATAAGCTGGTAAGTGCAGTGTTTCCTTGAGTTCTGTGAGCCACTCTAGCAAACCTGAGGAGGGGGTTGTGGACACTACTGATTTGTAGCCAACTTAGAAGTTGCAGGGGACTTGCAATTGGCATTTAAAGTGTGGTGGGAGCAGTCTTGTGGGACTGAGCCCTTAACCTGTAGGACCAGACACTATCTCCAGGTAGACAGTGTCAGAATTGAGTTAAATTATAGGACACCCAGCTGGCACTGTGGAGAACTGCTTTGTGTGGGGAAAAAACTCCACACATTTGGTGACCAGAAATGAAGTGCTCTGTGTAAAAGCAATGGAGACACAAAGGTAAGAAATATAATATGGCAGAACTGAGTTTTTCCCAGCATAGGAAAGAGGAAAACTGAGATGTTCTTCTAAAGAGAGAACTTAGAAATCAGCAATAGCAAATGAACATCTCAGTAGAAAAATAAGCAAAGGGCAAGAAACATGCAATTCATAGAAGAAAAAAATTAAAATTAAAACATATAAAAATAAATTTAACCTCTAATCAAAGGATGCAAAGAAAAAAAAATGAACTGCATTTCTTAACCTCTGTAATTGGAAAAGATTAAAAGATGACATTTTTCAACAAACAGTTTTACTTTTAAAGGGTTGTATATTGGCCCTAATCATTTCTGAAGAGCGATTTAAAAATAGATATCAAAATTTTCAAAGTGCATTGTTTTTGAACCAGATCTTTTGACTATTAGGTATTTATCCTTCAGGATATACTCAATTTTTCAAAAATGTACATATAAGGATTCTTACCATGGTGCTATTGATAAATTTAAAATATTGGAAATAGCCTAAATTTAACAATTAAGTTAATTTAACATAGCCTTGTTTAAATTTTGGTACATTCCCACAGTGGGAATTTATGCAATGCTAAAGACGGACATGAAATATTCCATGATTTACCCTTAAGTGAGAAAAAAGTGCAAGTTTCAAAAATTTTGCATATATATTATGATTCCCATTTATAGTTAGTATTTCCAGTGATTTTTTTTTAATACTTGAATTTTATGTATATGAGTCATCTTTTAAAAACAGACAAAACAATAAATGTGTTTTCATTTGAAAAATAGGTAGGGGTGTTAAGATGTACAGAGGGGCACCTCTGCTGGGAACTTCAACTCCCCATTTTTGGTCTCTGACCTGTCCGGTGGAAGTGGTAGTCGGGGACTTTCCAGTGCTCAGTGCTGAAGGCTCAGTTAAGTATATTCTGCAGAGAATTCAAATTGCAAGATAGACTATATTTCTGATTAATTCTATTCAAATACTTAGTAGTAGCATTTTATTTTATTTTGGCTACACTATCTAAAGTCCACTAACATAATAAAAATGTACATTAAACTTTCAGAAATGTTTTCCAAATATAATAAACTCACAAAACTAACAAAGTGAAATAATTACCTGTCTCCCTTTGGTTTTCTTTTTTGTAGTGTCTTCCCTTTGGGTCTTCTTTCACTTCCTAAACAGGGGCTCCCACCAGGTCCTGTTACCCGTATTGATTCAAGGCCTTTGGAAGATTTTTTAAATGTGAATTCCACTGGTTCTCCTTCTTTTAGGCTTCTGAATCCTTCCATGAATAATTTGCTCTGAGAAGAGCAGGGGAGGGAGGGAGAGAGAAAGAAAGATCATCATTATTAATATATTATAAATTATCTCTATGATTTAAGATTAACATAGAAACATATTCATTTACTAAGTATAATTTTTTTTTAAGTTCAGCAAAAGGCATACTATTTAAAAGTTTCCTGTTGTAATAGTGGCAGTGGGAGAATAAACTAATAACATATTTTAAGGCAATTTGGCAACACTTATAAAAATTTAAATGTGTTTATTTTTTGATCCAGCAACTCTACTTCAAGGACTCTCCTATGGACATACTCACACAATTTCCCCCCTACCCCCACCCAAAACCTGTATCAAAATTCACTACAGCACTGCTGTCTGATAGAAAAATTACAGCTACCCTAATGTCTATCAATGGGAAAGTGATTAAATTATAGTAGTTATAAAATGTAGCATTATTGAGCTATTAAAAGATCTATATGTATTAGCATGGGGAAGATAAACGTAATACGGTTGAGTAAAAAACTGAAGAGTAAAGAACAGTGTGTCTATCATAACATCATCTATGTAGATAAGTTTTTAAAAGACACACGTTTACTTATAGAGGCATGCAGTCTGGAACAATAGACAGCATATCATAAATAGTCATTTTCTCCAGGGAAAATGGGAGGCTTTTGGATACACACATTATTGTATTGTTTGAACTTCTTATAATTTGAAAGGAAACAGATTTTTATAATTTGAAAGGTACTTAATAATGACCAAAAAAAGTTTCCTGATTGGAAAAATCTAACTTTGGTTACAAACATTAATTGGCCCTTTTGATCTAACTCTTTTCATCAAAGTGAATGTACCAATTCAAAAATATACTAAAATCACTAAATCATTCATTTTATTTATTTCTTCAAATCCCTCTGTGTACATTTTACAGATCTAATTTTAAGTTCCATGTAGCTTTTAAAGATTTTTCTGAATTTGGGGGCAAAAGGAAACACATCGGAATATGGTAGGTCGAGACCTTGGTTCAAGTCTAGTTCTTTAAGTAAATAGCTATGCAGTTTTGAATGAGCCATTACTCTCTTTTCTGTTTATCTGTCAATTTAAGGGATTTGAGTTTCCCCCCATGTGTTCTGAGAAACAATGGTTCTGAAAAAGATTCCATGAAAAAAGGATCTGGGGGTCAGATAAGGTTGTAAATTGCTATACGTAGTTTCCCCTTAGTTGATTTGCATTAACATATTAAAGTCTCTGAGTTTCCATACCCTCCCCCACCTCCACAGAAATAAAAATCTTGTTTAACTGTGCTTAACCCAGCAATTTCCCAATCTAATTGATCCCAGAGCCCTTTCTTTAAACTACAGATGACTAGCATACTTCTGGAAATGCTGGACCAGGAAATCTTCACTCCCCCCAAGTCCATGACTCTGAAGGCAGCTAAATAATTACAGATAACCAAACAGTTATATGGAACAGATAAAAACAACACTTCAAATTTCAATGCAAAAGGAAGCTATTCCTTGTGAAAGCAATACAACACATGAAGACAGGGTTTTTAACCAGTTCCTAGTGCAGCTTATCTCACACTGTGACTTCATGTGGAAGTGTAATTTGGCAGCAACTTTTCTGCTCTCTGATGCTATGTAGAAATCAGAAAAAAAAAGAAAAAACACAACTGCTTACATTCTTTAAAATTAAAAAAATATAGTTTTTAAAGCTTTATATATTTCCAAATCTATTTTTTTTCCCAAGCTTTCCCCTCACTAATTATAAATAGTCTTTTACTTTCATTTCCTTTCTCACTTCCCACTCAAGAAAGTGCAGATGATCAAACCAGATGAAGTGGAGCAGAGGTCAACTACTGTAATTAAGAGAAGGAAGGGATAGCAGCTTTAATTAGAGCTATCATATGCTCATGTTATTTTCTATAATCAAAATTCTATCACTTACTTCCTGATAGCTTTTAGTGTATGGGTATACATAATTTGATTTCATTTTCTATTATTATAATTGTTGATGGGTATCATTTATAAGTGAGCTGTTTCTCCATATCTAAAGTAAAATTCTGCTCTTCCTAAGGACCACTGAGTTTTGGCTATTCTTCAAGATATTCTGAAAGAATACTTTTTTTTTTTCATTCTATCATACATTCTCCTCCAAATGAGTACATAAGGCAATTCAGAGTCATAATAATTGACAAAAATAATAGTAATATCCCTAAGAAACTATAGTGGCTTTGAAAGAAAGACAAGAATTCACAGAGACTGTTCTATCTTTGCTATTACACTGAAATTGCTGTTACATAAATGGGAAAGATTTGTTGAAAGATGAGGAATTGGCTAATTTTATTTCTTCACAAAAATCAACTTCTTCCCTTGCCTTGTCATTTTTTATTAAAGGTGCCTCCATTTTCCCAGTTACACTGGTTCTAATCCTTAGTTTTACCCAAACCATATATTGAAGTGTGTGCATTCTTACTTCATAATCTCTTTCATTTGCTCCAACCATTTCATTGGACTGCCACTGCCCTACTTCTGGTGCCAGCTATCTCCCTCCTGGATGAGTATAAGTTTCTTCACTGCTGTTTCAGCATCAAGTCTCCTCCCTACTCCATAGCATCTTCCACACCTGCGTATTTTCTCTGAATAAATCTCTGCCTGTTAGTCTCCTGTCTAAAAAAGCTACAATACTTCTCTTAAATTGTAGGTGAGACCCACTCATAATGTTACCTCTACTCATATTTTCCACTTCCTTTTCCAACACCCTAAAACACAACTCCTCCACTAATAAGGCTGGCTGACTTGTACTTCCCTGAACACACTTCACGTTTTCTCATCTCTGCACTCCAGCTTATGCTGGTGGGGATGCTCTCTTTTAGGCACAGCTGTCTATCAAAATCTTACTGAAGATTCAAGCCATAATTCATATAACCCTTTATGCAATCACCCTCAATTGCCCAAGTTGGAAATTCTCTCCTGTTCATTTAAGTGATTCTCCTACACAGTTTTTACAGTACACCCCTGTGTAATGCAGACATCTGTGCATGCCCTACTTCTATTTGCTTTTTTGGGTTTATCTTCTCCTGAAGGCCAGGCACTGTGACATATATCTTAGAATTTCCTAAAGGATTAAACTAATGCCTGCAAACTACCATCATTCAGTAAGTGTTTAAAAGAATTCAAGGTTTTGCACCAGTAAGAACCTTAATGGTTATTTGGTCCAACTCCCACTTGAAAAAAGGTGGACTGAATTCTAAGGGGTTAAGTGAATTGCTCATGCAAAGTCACACTTCCCGCTCCTACTGCTGCTACATAAAATAACTTCTCTTATCTTTAGTGTCAAGGTGACACTGCGCATGGTACCTCTGGAATAAAATGCTGATAGTATTATAATGGCTCATGGTAATAAGGTTGTTCTCTGACTCCATTCAGAAGTTAATATGGATCTGTTTTTCTTGTTCTTCCTTCTTCCCATATTCTCTAATCATTCTCATTGATGTGGCTCACAAAATGATGTTCTGCCTCTGTGAACCAAGAATGCAGGTTTATGTAGATTTTTGTTCAATCTACATGCAAGACCTGCATAAGGCAAGACTTTTTGGTGTTTGGGCTTACACTGTCATCTGTGACATCTGTTTGGACAAAATAGACGTTTATTTTCTATTGGACAGAATCACAGTTATTGAGTGATTAAATAAACAAATGAATGAAGAATCATTTAGAAGAAGCTGCTGACATGCCTGCTGAGATATCAGGCACTTACAAAGGGGACAGGCCAATTTTGAATGTGCACATATTCAGTTAACTTATCTAACACTTTAATTTGTGTTCCTCTTCCTCCAACCAAAGAAGGTTCCCCTTTCACCCACTTCCTTTTATTCCAAATTTTAAAATTCATTTTGGCACAAGTTTATTTCAGAATTATAAAAATACTCGCTCTCAGTTTCCTTGCTATACCTCCCTTTCCTCCCCTCCGGTCATTTAAAAATGACTTTCAAAGAATGACATGTACATGGAGTCAAATAGGAGTGTTCAAACACTATATTTTATTTGTCAAGTATTTCTACCCAAGGTTGCACTTAGTAAGAGGATCACTTATCTCCTTTGGCACCTGTTTTTTCTCTCCAGCTGGACTGAGAAGACAGTAAAGTGTTCCTACAGTTTTATTCTTGATTCTCCTTAGAAGTAAGAGTGTATTTTCTTCTCTAGGAAGCAGAAGCTGACTTCCAATTCAAGATGGCAGGCTGAATAAATGTGTTTCATGATACTCTTTAAAAGATATCAAAATGATAGTAAGATAGTTAAAATGAATAGATTCACAATAAGAAAGAGCATAAGAGGGGTGCCATCATTGGGAAGCAGAATTAAAGAAGTTTCTGGAAGTTAGAGAGACTGCTGGCTGATTAACTGAGTTGAAGGAGCCATATGTTAGCAAAACTAATAAAAGGAGCTGCAGCACAAGCAGGAACCAGCATTCCTAACAGAACTCACAGACTGTGCTGAGACACTACATGTGCGATGAAAGCAAGGGAGAGCAGTGGGCTTGAAAACAGAAGGATTAATGGGAAGTTTGCATGTGGACTAGATACCCATCTCATTTTCCATAGATGTGAAAACAGGCAAACAATACCCCAACACAAATAACATGAGGCCCTTCTCTTAAGAGACTGAAGGAAATATCTGGGCAACTTGTGAAATATTGGATCCTGCACACAAACTTCTACTCATGCTGACCATTAGGAGCCCACAAGTGCAAGCACTGTTTCCCTACCCACTCAGCCTTAAATCATTCCTACCCTTCGTTCTTACCCCTCATTCATATATCTGAAGGGTCAACCAAGAATCACAAAACATGCAGCATAATGAAGAAAGGCCAAGATAAATGAGGGAACAAAAGAAACTTTATACACAATCTAATTAGAGTATCTCTACAGATATTTGAGATAATATCAATAAAACAAAAACAAAAACAACCAGAGAATTTAAAAAATCCTCTCAGAAAGTTAATAGTGATCATTGAAATTAAG